CTTCCTTTTACAGGACATATTTAAAGGATTAATAAGTAGTACTGCTGTACCATTCCCCTTCATTATCCTCTCGGACGCTTTTTTTTTTAGAGCTCTCCTTAAAACTTGCACCTTTTTCTGGCCAATTTCACATTTCTATACGAAATGGGATGAGAAAGTTGTAGGATTTTGTTATCTCCTCCTCCTCCTCCTCCTCCTCCTCCTCCGCTTTTTTTGTACTTGTCTGTATGTCAATAAGACCGGCTTTAGACCAATCGCAGGAAATAATTTTTTGCATCGTCCATACGTGCCTCACAACATTGGAATAAGTTTTTTTTCTGTCACGTAAAGTACAATTTTAATTTAACTTCCAAAAATTAAACTGTGAAAACTCCTATTATTCATCCAACAGATCCTCTGGACAGCTGAATACAGTCCAACTGGAGGTCGGCGTTTAATAAATCGTGGATTTTTTAACGCTCCACTATTGGACGACTTTATTGTGCCTCTTGGATATCGTGGTGAACTTATGGATCCACACACCGGATTTCTATTCCATACACCCACTTGGCAAGCTTACGATCCCATTGGAGGCACTTTGACAAGTCCTGATTGGCGTCGAGCTGCCACCTCTCGTCTTCAACGTCTTCACAGTCATCCACAAGCATTGGACCTTCACACCTGGTTCTCTGAAAGCAATAACCTAGATCCACTAGTACGATTGCAGCAAGCGATGAAAGGTCCAACTTGGTGGTTGCGTAGTCTTGATCGTGGAATTGATCGTCTCTTCCCACGTCTTCATCTAGAAACTGGAGCCATTTCGGCTCCGTCTTTGGAGAGGGAACTCAATCTCCTGCCAACAAAGTGTAGTCAAGGTCTAGTAATGACTTCTGAACAACTTCAACAGGCTAGACGTATTAATGATCAATTGGAAGGTCTTGGAATCGTTGATCCAACACGACTGGCGTCTGGTACAGCTTTTGGAGCGTGGTTTGATGTCGCCTGTCCAATTGCTAGAATTAAGACAACTCCTCCCGTTTTTGGTGTAGATGTAAGTTGCAGGAGTGAATAAATAATCTCGATTCTTTTAGGTCAGTTTCTCTCTTTCCTCCGATGGAACTATCTCGGTTTCTCGAAGTGAAAACAACATATCACTTGCCAAGATTGCTAAGGTTCTTTTCTCTGGTGCAAAGCTGATGGACTCTTGGTACCTCCCGACTCCTTCTCACGGTGGGATGGCAGCTGTGACCTCCTTTGTCCAACTTTTTGTCAAAGTCACACCGCCTCTGAATGCTGATCTTCAAACTTTGCAACTTCAACGCTCCACTCTGCTATCGCATACCCCAATTCGTTTAGGAGGCAGTGGGTCACCACTTAGTGGGGTTAGGGTGAGTTTAGACAATTCTGCAGGTGCTGAATTACGCATCAGTTCTGCAGCTTCACCAGGAGTTGAATGGCGGCTTCGATACGAAGAGAATTGGGCAGTGGCAAGTGGACGAGTACTTCGGGAAGCCCAAAGTCGTGGTATTGAAGGCGCTCAACGGCGAGCAGCCCAGAGGGTAGGCGACAGAAGTCGTGGACCACGAACTTCCCCAAAACCCTGGCCTCCATGGCCTTCAACTTCAGAAGAAATGCGTCAAATGGAAAGTGAAGGTGGCGTTGTAAAGGGTTTCGCTTGGAAGCCTGTGATTCGAGAACCCAAGAGGGCGGCAGTACTCACTGAACTTCTGGACGACCCTGCCATATACCAACTGCGACCAGTGAATGAGAAATCTGTATCAGTTGAGAACTGAATTCATTCTGTGTTGCTTTGTCTTTCATCTACGTTTGAAATGCGATCAGAGAAATGCCCTTATGCGGGTACGTTGTCGATCCTACTCGACCTACTTCTCTTCTCTTAAATATGAGCGTTGGCTGGAACTGATTGTATCTCTCTTTACTTTGCTCTTGTTTTCCTTCACCCGCTTTGTGAGTTGCATTTAGGCGTTCCTCAGATGCCTTCTCTCTCTATACCGTATTGTTCCTCTTGCCTGTAAATATGTTCTCATCATACATGTATTTTATTTCTACTAATAACTTGTCAGTAGGTAGTATTTTATCAAATCCACTTACTCGCTGCGTGAACTAGTCCTCAAGGTGGGGCAAATGAAATGCTGGTTATTCAAGCAGGTCAACTTTAAGATTGGAATCCAATATATTTTTACCATAGCAATGTTGGTCTTAAGTTGACACTCAATCCTTTTGACAACTTTTGATCGACCCAGAGTAGGTCCAAGATGGTTCAGATGGAGTGTTGGGTTGTTTTTGCTTTTTGCTTAAAATACCTTAGGTGCTAGCAACAGCAAACACAAGATTTGTCGATAAAGCTTGTGTCTTGTATTCTGCAGAGCAAAGATCCCGGTTTGAAGGAGAATTTACGCAAGGGGGAAGCATTGCATGATTTGGGTTTCCTCTTTTTAATGCGTCTTTTGCACTTATTTCAACAATCCATTTGAATTATTCTTGAAGTCTTATAACAAAGAGAAATGCCATTCCTTCTTACCTTACCGATAGTGCCAGCAGTTCATATTAACGATTTTGGCTCATTATTCATTGTGCCACTGTTAAATGTCATTTCGTTGTGCTTCCTCATGGATACAGTCCAATTATTCAGACATTAGTCTTCTTTAAAGCCTTTATGGAGTGTCAAACACAACCACTTGTGCCGGCTAGCGTCTTTGGTGAAGTTGGGTGGACGAAATTGATGGCACTTGTTTATATGACCAACAGTATTGTTCGAGTGTCTGTGCTTGACAAAGTGCGGGAAGGAAGAAGGCACCCTTTCATCGTGACGACTTTAGATACGCGTTTAAAGGCTGGATCGTTGTAGTTCGAGCTGGTTAAATTGGCAGTTTTTAAATGTCTTTGTCCCTAGACTGAACCAAAATAGTGCCATGCTAGAGGTTGATCAACCACTTACCCTCGAACGCTTTCACAGAGGCATTCATCTAGGTTGACGAGGCACTCTAACTAACTGTCAACCAACTAGAATCCATCGAGCTGAAGGTTGACCTTCTCTGTGTTGGTTACACAGTCCTTAGGAGTGCATTTTGTCGAATCCAGGCAACAATGATGCAGGCTGGTTGGTGTTACCTAAGTTTTGACATCTCTTAGTGTCTAGTTGGTTCGAGGTCTTGTAAACCACTTCAGAATTTCAACTCTCATGAGGGTTAGGTCTCTCTAAGTGACACGCTTTAGTAGGTAAGTAAGAAATAGTCATTTTAATGTAACCACTTCCCATTTTGGCTTTGCTCTATTGCACCTTAGGTCAGTATCATAGGTCAAATTGAAGGTCAAAGTTCCCTCAAATACGAACAAATGCACAGAAATCTGATCCTTTGTGCCCGAATATCAATGCTCACTATCTTTCATAAGAAAAGGACACTGTTTTTACTCACGGTGACACGTTTTTTTTTTTGATGAAGAGAATTACAGTCCAAAATAATGCCTATTGACTGATGGTCATAAAGACAACACTTCCCGACCGGATATATGACTCGTCATTCAAGTGAGAGGAAGATAAACAATGCGTTCCCTTGGGTGATTGACAGAGGATCTACCAGTAACTCTCGTGACGACCTAACAGATAAACTATTAGGATAAAAAAGTCCTCCATTTCCGATTAGCAGGCTTAAAGCCATCCTGATGTGTTCTGGTTTCAATCAATCAAAATAAAATGTAGTTGGTGGTTTAAAAAAATAATAAGGTCTGAAATTCGTCTATTTACCTACCTACTTACAAATCCATTCGGTTAAATCGTCTCCTTTGTATGCAGTTGATTTTGTCAAGATTTCTGAAGGTCTGCCATTTTGTCATTCATTCATCACTTACCCGCCTCGTATTTAGCCACCCAATCCATGAAGAGGACTTGCTCCACTTCCCGACTGCCTATTCTTTCTTTTCTTCGTCAATTTTTGCTTCTTTACTTTTGTAATATCCGAATTTCCTCAATTTGTATTTTTTTTATCTACTCAACCGTGTCTCACTTATCCATCGCATCATGGATGTCGATTCCCGCCAAATCGTGGGATTTGGAGAGGAAAAAACAAATTTTATTGTGGGTGACCTAATCAAGATCCTCCTACTAACTTTTGAATGTTTATTTTCCCATTTGCGCATCCACCTTTCCATACTTTTTTCTACCCAAATTTACAAAGTCGGTTAGAGCTTGTAGACCGCTCCGTGAACTCATTCCACCGCCATTCTTTGCCAATATTGCTTAAAGCCTTCTTTTTTGTTGAAAAGCACTATTATGCGTCCTTATTTGGTTTTAATAATTAAGTATGGAGCGCTGTTCCATAAAATTGCGGCCTTGATGCCACCCACAAGTGCAGAACTCTAGCAACTCTGCCATACGCAGCTCTTAAAAGCTAACGGCAGGCAGGCTTCTTAAATGTCAGGCGAAAATCCACAGTGAGGCAAGAATAACTCCTCCTTTTTAACAAGACGTAAAAAGAACTTGCAATATCAAGAACGGATTCCGTGACGGTCACAAAAAACGAATTCCGTCTGAGAGAGAAAGCGGGAGAGAGAGAACGAGAGGGCGAGAAGGGGATAGAGGCAAAATAGAGTTAATCTTGCGATTCTTTTGGAAGTGTGGTTGGCTGCCTAATCAGCAAATTGCTTGTTGTTGTGGAATGATTTTCCGCATGTCACATACATGTGACGCTAAAATTTTTTAGCTTTTGTTTGCTGGTCACACGCACACACACCCGCACACAGAAAAAAGAAAGCGAAAATAAACAAAGTGAAAGAATAATACACTCCGATGACGGTGTCTCGAGAATGGACTTAAATTAGAAAACTATCCATTCGCTTCCTTCATAACTTTTAATTGTTGTTCAAGGTCGGACGCTAGAGCAATTAAAACAACAACTTATAACAGGCTTAGGAGCCCTTAAAGTCAGCAGCACTCATTTGTAATAAAATATTAATAGTCCTTAATGTCCACCTGCATGCAATGCCAATGCCAAACGAGCACGCAAATGTTAACTTGAAAGGGTCCACATATATGCTGTCAAATGTGCTTTACGGAGCAAAAATGAGCAAAAGGTAAAAGAAAATAAAGTCAAAACTATAACAACAAGTAGTTTTTACTAACTTTTTACTCACCTTTTCATCTGCAATACAGTCACTATGTTGGTGTTTATTTTTACCAGAAATATGGCATAAGTGGGAAAAGCTTGGTAGTAATTAACACCGCTTCCCCAAGAAGACAAAAGGGAGTGACAAACTTTGCTGTTGTGAGGAATTTTGCTTTACAAGGCGAATAGTCCCAAGTATTTTGGCATAAGCTTGGAGTGGCAAGCCAAATCTGTGAGAGTGAGTAACTAAACACAATAAGGAAAACTCCATTTTTCCTTAAATGCCGGCAAATATTCTGAAAAATCATTGGTTCAAAAGGAAATTATTATTATTAATCATTTTTAGGGCTTTCTTAATTGTCTTCTCGCCGAGATTGACGTGTGGCACTCATTTACTCGGCAGCCTTTCACAATCTTCCCTTCTTGCATAATATGGGTGCAAAACCGCCGCTTCGCTACAACAATCCAAATGACATTTGTTTTTGCCTTATTAATCAACATTTGAGCTTGTATAACACCGGGCTGCCTTACTTTTCCACCGCCTTCACCATCACCATTTCCACAATTGCATTAGAGTGGATGATCGTGTTTGACGAGAGACTGTTTGATAATGTCTCGTTTCCGGCTCGCAGTCAGGCTCCATTGCGGATTAACTCGATTCGCAATTGTTCCAACCTCTCTACCAACACTTAATGAGTGATAAGTTTTAAAAGAGGGATGACAAAAGGGAGGGCGCCGTACGGTGCAGTGTGCGCATATAAGCATTCGTGTACATTCTACAGTCTCCTATAAGCCCCTACTATTCATATTTTAAGCTTACTGTAAAACAAATATGTGCCTAACGTCTCATCATAGCATTTTCGTGGATGCAGACTTGTTTGTGTCCAATATCCTCAATTGATCTCAACGTTCTTCAAAGTGAGACGATTCGCAATACTCCAGGCCAGCTTCAAACGAGAGTCCAGGTTTGCATGTGATACTTTGCCCTGCTTCCTGCCATCCACTTTTCCATAAGTCCCACGAATTCATCCCTGCAAGCGCAAATGCAAAATTCCCCTCCACAACGATTGGGTAATCACGAGCATTTGCGCAGTATGTTAAGCCACTTCTGACAAAAATACTTTTAGGCTGATGGGAAAATGTGTTAGCTCTTCTTAACTAACTACTACCATCGCCACCACCATCACCAGCACCGCTACTACAGGGGGGAAGGAGATAATGTGGCTGTCAAGTTATAAATGGTCAAAGATTACAAAATGTGTATTGTATACTCGCTTATGGGTGTGTGTGTGTGTATATATATTTTCACCCATCAGTAGCTTCCCTCCATGTGTGTATGTGTGCGTAGTGTGTAACAAGTCGTTTCGACAGCTTTTAAACAAAACAACACCAGCAACAGCAACAGCACCACAAGTGGGTGGTGTGTTTCAGTGACACAGCAACTGTTCTCTGTAGCCGCTACTACCACCGTCATCATCATCGTCATCATACAGGGTGCCCGCCTCCCCTACCTTTCCTTCCCATTTGGGAGGCTGAAACAGCCTATGTGCACACTCCATGCTGAAGCTGATTGGACAGCAATTAAGAGGGTGAATGGCACTCCGGCGTTGCATAACTCTGACTGTACACAAAGACGGACAATAAAACACTTCACGTTGTTGTGAATTTAC